GGAGAGCAGAGAGGATGTTGTCCGAGGGGACCGGAGCTGATGAAATCAGGATCCAGGCGCCAGCCTGCTACGCCTGGGATCGGCCTGTAAGACGTGTGCGGCAGACCTGAGCTTGGGACAATGGCTTTGCAGACGATCTATTGTGATCAGTGCGGCTGCGGTGGCACCAGGCTCTTCCCCGCTCGCTCCCTCGCTCTTTCGCATCACCTTCCTCCCCGCTCCCCCCTCTCTTTCTCAGGCTGCTGCTTGCCGAGGGACGGAAGAGAAAGGCCAGGCGTGCCGATTTCCCTCGCTTTTCTTCTCCTGCGCGCCGAAATCCTCTTTTCGGGAAAGGGCGTCTAGATGCGTCTTTGTTAGGGACGGCAAGGAGAAGCGGGAGACTGCCGCGCTCGTCACACACTCGCACCGAGGGAGCCGGGGGATGCGCAAAAGAAAGCGCAACCTCCCCATGCAGCGCCTTCCTGTTTGTGCAAGCTTGGTGGAGACCTCTAGCATGGAACCGCTGCAAGAAAATCCATGCAAAGACGTGGGCACCGGGCGGGGGAGGGGAAGGGAGAACAGACCTCCTTCTTTTCCCTTCTTTCTCTCCCCCCCCCGCCCTTCCTCCTCATGAGAAAAATTCCGAATGCATTTTAGCGGCAGCTCGGCGGATTTTAGGCTTGCATTCCGGCGGGATCCAGGGAGCAGGGGCGGAGTCCTGAATGATGCCAGCCTGGGTTTAAATACACATACACATATGTGAGTAATAATAATAAAACACACACACACACACACAGTGGCTGTGCCCTCGTGTGGGAGGGATCTTGACGACGGCCTCCTGCTCAGCTTTTAATCTGCGCGCTGAGGGTGCGTGTCTGCCAGTCGGAGCCAGCCACGCGAGTGGGGTGCCATCCTGAGCCTCTTGGGCTGATCACAATTCTTCGCCATTGTTCTTTCGGTGGGTTTTCTTTATTGTGCTGGCTTGCAAGAAAGGAACAGCCCGGCTGCAAAGGATTTAGTTCCGGGTTTCTTGCCACTTCAAACAGGTAGGAGAGACAGGAGAAAAAGAGGTAGGAGAGAAGAGAAGAAAAAACAAAACAGTCTTCCTAGTAGACAGCAGGATGAGAGAGTTGGACTTGGCGTTGGGCTGGATCGTGTCCCAAGACAATCCCCGCCAAGGTGCACCAGGGTCTTACTTTCAATCCTGCAAAAAGCATGTCTTTGAATGTCTACAGAGCCCTTTAATATCCCAAAATAATCCCAGCCATCCCTCCCGTTAGAAGAACATTATCTGGTATCTCTTCTTTTATAATTCAAGTGTACAGTTATAGGCCCACTTCAGAAAATGCCTTTCTTTCAAGATCTGTTCTCCAGGGCTGGCTCAAGACGTTTTTGAGTTTGAGCCAAAACAAAAGATGTCGCCCTCTGACACTCCCCACATTCCACATATAGAAGGTGGACCGATAGGTACTTGAATCCTTCTTCAACGTCACTTATAGAGGACATGCTTTTCTGCCATCACTGAGGGTAGGAGGCTAATTGGGTGAAGGCTAGGATTGTGAGGGCAACAGCCTCATCCCAGGCCCTGAAACGACATGGCCAAAACCTGAGAGCAAGAAGAGGCTCCGTTTGACACTGCCGGGCGGACTTGTGACAGGACAGAGGCAACAAGGCAGTCCAGGGCTGAGAGCAGGGGATGTGCTGTTTCTGGATCAGCTGCTTCAGGAAATGGATAAATGGTCCAGTGGCGGGAAAGGAGGAGCGTACCCATGCAGATTGCAAAATGCACTCAACAGCTGCAGCAGTTGCTGCCACTTCTTGCTAGAGTTTACATTCAACTTCACACATACAACTTTTGCACTTTCAGTGCTGCTGTCCCTGAGAGCTGTCTCCCTTCCTGGTCACTAAGGCTGCAAATACACTGACAAACTGAATGAAAGCAAATTGGCTTTGTTGTGGCTTGATTCGCAGCCTATTTTACACTTCTGTTCATATTAGGTAGTGACACAGAGACTGTGGATTATAGTTACACTGGCCCCTCAAAGCAATGTGGTTTGATTTGTGTTATAGCTCACAATTCCCCTTCCTTTGATCCTGCCTTTTGCTGATCCCTGGCTCTCCTTTTATGGTTCATGGAAAAGCTGGTCAGCTGTTTAATGTGTTGCATGGTGCTAGGAAGGAGGGGCAGTTTTCCCAAGTTCTCCATGACTATAAAGACATACATATATATTGTGGAAACAGCGTACTGTAGTTTGCTTTAGTTCGTCAGAGATATTTCTATTTCATATCAATGTTTATCTCTCTTGTTTTGATCCATTCAGACGTAATATAGTGCTAAATTAGTATAGCAATGTAATGATTCAGTGATCTAGCACTAAACTTGATCACAAAAGCAAAAGTCTGCTTGAAAAAAGTAGAAGCCACCAGCAGCAGAGAGAAAAAAAACCTTTGTGTTAGAACTGGACCAGACTGATTCAAAGTGGCTTTTATATCCCATTATCAGTTTTTCCCCCTTCATGGATTGCTGCCTTGTCGTGGCGAAGGGGCTTGAGTAACTGTGAAGGGAAAGACCAGAAGCTTCGGGTCTTTCTAGTAGAGCCGACTCTCTTAAAGACTTCTAAAATGACACAGACTAGCCCTCCTACCTCCCCTGGTCGTAAGGAAGACCAAGATACCGACACACAGGGATCAGGAGAAGCACCACGGGCAGGGAAGGTGTCCTGTGCAGTTGATACCAGCGACTTGGAGGAAGCTCTCAAGGGGTTAATGACACCTGGTCCTTATAAGGAAGATTTGGAGGGAAGAGAGGAGGTGGAGCTAAAGGGAGACGAAGGGGGGCTGGGGGATATAATAGTGAGGAGGGATGATATCCTTGGTGGTTGAGAGATGGTCTGGATAGAGGATCCATGGACCAAACGTTGGGAGCAGGTGCGAGTGCCTCGAGAGGAGGCCGAAAGGAGGCGTAAGAGGGGCTTGATGCAAAAACCCTCTTATTGGGGAGAGACGGAGGCTAAGCTCTGGCGTCAGAGGTTATGTGAGGCTAAAGAGGCAAGGGAAAGGGAAAGGGCAGCTAGACAAGCATGGCATATAGAAGAGCTGAAGAAGATGGGCTGCTACCTGGTCCCTGGAGTGCCTCGCCAAGAGAAGGAGACCCTTCGTGGGGCTGGATGGGAGATGAAGAACCCCTACCGTTATTGAGTCCGTTTGACCAAGATAAAAGAGACAAACTGTTGGGGGAGGTCCCTGTTGGACCTTGGGACATTGAGCCTGTTAAAACTGTTTTGGAAACTACGTGGGTGCCCTTGCCTGATCCGGTTTCGGGGCAAGAGATTAAACAAAAATCACCAGTTAACAATGAAGTTCCGTTTGTTCCGTTTAATAAAGAAAAGTTAACAGCAGAGAAGGTGGTTTCGACTCCTTTTTGGGAAGAGCGGGAAGCCCCAAAAAATGAACCCTCACAGTAACTCAGTGAAGTTATGGACTATGCTGTGCAGGGCCAACCAAGACGGACAGGTCATAGTGGAGAGTTCCGACTAAACGCAATCCACCTGGAGCAGGAACTGGCAAGCCACTCCAGTATCTTTGCCAAGAAAGCCCCATGACCAGAAACAAAAGGCTAAAAGATATGACGCTGGAAGATGAGCCCCTCAGGTCGGAAGGCGTCCAACATTCTACTGAGGAAGAGCTGAGGACAAGGACAAGTAGCTCCAGAGCTAATGAAGTGGTTGGGCCAAAGCCGAAAGGATGATTAGCTGTGGATATGCCTGGAAGTGAAAGTAAAGTCCGATGCTGCAAAGAAAAATACTGCATAGGAACCTGGAATGTAAGATCTATGAACCTTGGGAAGCTAGATGTGGTCAAACAGGAGATGGCAAGAATAAACATTGACATCCTGGGAGTCAGTGAACTAAAATGGACAGGAATGGGCAAATTCAATTCAGATGAGTATCATATCTACTATTGTGGGCAAGAAACCCGTAGAAGGAATGGAGTAGCCCTCATAGTCAACAAAAGAATGCGAAAAGCTGTAATGGGATATAATCTCAAAAATGATAGAATGATGTCAATACGAATCCAAGGTTGACCTTTCAACATCACAATAATCCACGT